GGTGAAGCCCATCCTTCCTGTATAGGCTCCCCCTCTCCCAAAAGTGTCCCCAATTCCTAATAAATCCAAACCCCTCTTCCCTACGCCATCGTCTCATCCACACATTGAGACTCTGAAGCTCTGCCTGCCTACCTGGCCCTACGCGTAGAACTGGAAGCATTTCCGAGAATGCCAGCATAGAGGTCCTGGATTTCAGTCTCTTTCCTAGAAGCCTAAATTTGGCCTCCAGGACATCTCTCCTACCCTTTCCTATGTCATTGGTACCTACATGTAGCACGACCACCGGCTCCTCCCCAGCACTACACATAAGTCTATCTAGATGCCTCGAGAGACCCGCAACCTTCGCACCAGGCAGGCAAGTGACCATACGATTCTCCCGGTCTTCACAAACCCAACTATCTATGTTTCTAACGATCGGATCACCCACAACTAAGACCTGCCTCTTCCTAACTGGCTTTCCCTCTCCCTCAGAGGTATCCTCAGTGTGAGAGGATACCGCAACATCCTCTGGGAGGAGGGTCCCAACTACGGGATGGTTTCCCTCTGCTCCCATTGAATGCTCTGTTCCCTTGAGACTTTCATCCTCCTTAAGAGCACTGGGGCTCTTAGACTGAAGTTGGGACAGTACTACAGTGTCCCGGAAAGTCTCATCAACATAGCTCTCTACCTCCCTTAGCTCCTCCAGTTCAGCCACCCTGGGTTTGTTTTGGTTTGGGTTTGTTTAGTCTGCAGAAGAGAAGAGTGAGGGGTGATTTGATAGCAGGGGAGGGGAGGTTCCAAAGAGGATGGAGAAAGGCTGTTCACTGTACTGACAAATGGCAGAACAAGGAGCAATGGTCTCAAGTTACAGCGAGAGAGGTCTAGGTTGGATATTAGGAAAAATTATTTCACTAGGAGGGTGGTGAAGTACTGGAATGGGATACCTAGGGAGCTGTTGGAATCTCCATGCATGGAGGTTTTTAAGTCTTGTCTTGACAAAACCCTGGATGGGATGATTTAGTTAGAGTTGATCCTGCTTTGAGCAAGGGGCTGGACTTGGTGACCTCCTAGGTCTCTTCCAGTTGCAGGAGCGGAGGGAGATGCGAGAGGCAGGGGTGAGGTAAATCATCAACCAAGGAAGGCTCACAATTGCAAAGGTGTTTGGATCTGCTGGGGGAAAGGCTGCAAAAGGGAATTCAGGATGGGACAGGGATGGGGATAGGGAAATGCAGGCACTGGCACTAGTGATTCCCCTGAGGCGTTACACACAAACAAAAACGAAACAATAATAAACAACACCCTTAGTGCAGTGTCATGTGGGCTGGCCAGATACTGTCTTCAGTTTGTCAGGGGTACCCATATTGCACAGCTCCTACAGGCGAAATTACAGTTCTTCCAATGGCTATGGACCCTGACAGCAGCCCAGCATGGTTACATATATTAATATAATTGTGCGAACATTCTATACACCTCCGGGTGTACATATGATCAGAGCAGTTGCTTTGCAGCACCTGTACTTTCAGGAATGCATGCGAAAAGTGGCATTGAGTCATATACAGAACATTCCCACCACCATGGGGATGTACAAGAAGCAGGGTATGACAAGTGCTATCTGCAGGTAGGCCCGGCATAAATGGGGTGTGGGTGACAGAATGAAAGGATCACCAATGGGTCCAATTTCGGGACTGGATTTTTTAGCAGGGATTCATACCCCCCTTTTTCATGTGAAATATTAATAATAATTAAATCAAGTGTGCGGTTTGGCCTGTTGTCCTGATGATATTTCCACAAGAATGAATTTGGGGCACAGTCCCAAGGCCATCTAAACAGTGATCTGTGGACAACTGTCTCTGGACAATTTGGTTTTTATTCCTCCTCCCCCAAGGCCAGCAGCAAGCAGGAATAACGCAGTCAATCAAATTGGTGGTCTGGGTTTATTGGGGGATTCTTGTCTCCACTATGTAATGCAGTAATTATTTTCAGTTTGGCCATGTGGTTAAGACAATCATTCTACAAGAATGAATTTTGGTGGATCTTGTGGTTTCAATCCCAAGGCTTTGCCCCCCAAAGGCCTCCAGGGAATTACTTTGTTTCATAACCTCTGGGTCTGACAAAAGATTAGCACATGACTTATATCATTTTCAGGTCCACAGAATTTAGGAACTGGCAGCTGGAGCCCGCCAGGAACACAGGCAAATGCTAATGGTGCTATGGAACCTTTGTGTACAATGGTAATCAGTGTGGTTGCTCTACACACATGGCCCAGCTGAGAGACGTTTCAATGTTTTGATGCAATTTCAGGAGCAGGAAGGCCTGTCATCAGTATAATCCATTACAGAGGACATCAGTTATCCCGCAATCTCAAATCGCCTTTCTGCCGTTACATTTGTCAGCAGACTATCCTGTGATCTTGATCCTTGCAGTGGTTTCTTTGTCTGATGGGTTTTGGCTGGGTGGTCACATTCCTGTGCTCCTAAGGTAGATTCCCATTGTTTTATCAAGTTTACATTCTCAGGGGGTATGTCTACACTACAATGTTAGTTCGAACTAACGGACGTTAGTTCGAACTAACATTCATAGCCGCTACACTAGCGCTCTGCTAGTTCGAATTTGAATCGAACTAGTGGAGCGCTTAGTTCGAACTAGGAAAACCTCATTTTACGAGGATTAAGCCTAGTTCGAACTAGCTAGTTCGAATTAAGGGGTGTGTAGCCCCTTAATTTGAACTAGTGGGAGGCTAGCCCTCCCCAGGTTTCCCTGGTGGCCACTCTGGCCAACACCAGGGAAACTCTATGCCCCCTTCCCGGCCCCGGACCCCTTAAAGGGGCAGGGGCTGGCTACGGTGCCCGTGCCAGGTGCAAGCCTGCCAGCACCCAGCCAGCAGACCCTGCACCTGGCACGGCACAGAGCCACCCACCCGATGTCCCCCAGCCCACCCCCTCTTCCCGGGACCAGGCTGGCGGCTCCCGGGAGCTTGCCCTGGACCGCAAGAGGCGGGCACCTTCCTGGGCTAGTGCAGACATCGTGGACCTCATCCACGATCTCTGCACTAGGCACAGGAAAGTGGCCGGCTAGGGCAGGAGAGCTGCCAGCCTGGCCACCCAGGAGCAGGTGTGCATGAAAATCAAGGGGGTCCACTGAGACCCCCAACCCTGAGCCCTGAGCTTACAATGGCCGTCCTGGGTCAGACCAAAGGTCCATCTAGCCCAGTAGCCTGTCTGCCGACAGCGGCCAACCCTAGGGACCCTGGAGGGGATGGACCGAAGACAGTGACCAAGCCATTTGTCTCGTGCCATCCCTCTCCAGCCTTCCACAAACTTTGGGCAGGGACACCACTCCTACCCCCTGGCTAAGACTACTCCATGGACCCAACCTCCATGACTTGATCTCACTTCCCTTTAAACTCTGTTCTAATTGTAGCCTTCACAGCCTCCTGCAGCAAGGAGTTCCACAGGTTAACTATTTGCTTTGTCAAGAAGAACAACTTTCTCTTACTAGTTTCAAGCCTGCTACCCATTCCTTTCCTTTGGTGTCCTCTAGTCCTTCTTTATGGGAACTCAGGAAGAACTTTTATGAATGCACCCTCTCCACCCAACCCCTGCTTTTAGAGACCTCTATCCTGTCCCCGCTCCATCTCCTCTTTTCTAAGCTGAACAGTCCCAGTCTCTGTAGCCTCTCTTCATCTGGGTGCTCCCTCAAATCCAGGTCCCCCTCAAACACTCTGGCCCCGTCTCCTTCCTGCCCCTTCTCTGAGGCCCCGCCTCTGCTCACTCCATTTTCCCTCCCCCATCCTCATCCACTTTTATCAGGCTAGGGGCAGAGGGCTGGAGTGCAGGGGAGGGGGATGTAGAGACTGATATTGGGCTAAGGGATTCGGAGTGTGGGAGGGGTTCTGAGCTGAGCCTGGGGCAGGGAGTTGAGGTGCAGGAGCAGGTTCAGGGTGCTAGCTCTCAGAGAGAGTTTGGATGCAGGGGGACTCAGGGCTAGGGCAGGGGTTTGGAGTGCAGGAGGGGTTCAGAATGTGGGCTCCAGCTGGGCATTGCTTACCACAGGTGACTTCTGGGTGATGGTGCAAGGAACTAAGGCAGGCTCACCCCTCCCCTGGCCCTGCACCACTCCCAAAAGCAGCCAGCAAACTCTCTCCATCCCTGCCCCCTGCTGCTCTGTGGAGATGGGGCTCAGAGTGGAGGGAGGGGCACCCTGACAACAGCAACCCCTCCTCTTCTTCCTATGCCCTGCACAGCAAGCAGGAGGCTTCTCAGGTTAGTTTGACAAGATCTATCTTCCATAAACCCAAGGCATTAATTAGCCTTCTTTAATTCTTTATTAACTGGGTCACATATCAGGTGCTCCATTATCTTACCTGGGATCAATGTCAGACTGACAGGCTTATGATTATCTGGGTCATCCCTTCTATCTTTTTAAAATATTGGAACAACTTTTGGAAATGAATCGGTGTTCCAAGACTTATTGAAATGTAACATTAATCATCCAGTTTGTTCCTCAATCTCTCAAAACTCTTGAATGCAGGTTATCTGGACCTACTTCAAAGAGTGACTAAAAACCCCAAACTCTACATTATGGAGCACCAGAAAAACTGGACACGACCATCCTATGAGTGTAAATTTCTTTTTACCTTTATTGGTGATCAGCCCACACTCTGAAGTATGAGCATCCTCATTATACATTGCCATAAAATTAGTATAACTGTAGATATTCATATACTTGCCTAATTGTATGCTTTGAATCTTATTACAGTAAATACTTCCATAATTTCCTAAGGCAAGTAGTTCAACAAGTTTATTATACACTTATATTACTAATTCATATATTTTTTTGTTGCTTTTATTTGCCATACCGATGTAACATACTTGATAGAAACCAGACAATTCAGCTTTATTGAGGACTACCTCAATGTACTTGCAGTTTTGGAAAACCATAAAAATGATACATAGAATTTAATGCTAAACCAGAATATCAATAATAAATTTGTATGAAAGAAAAAATAGATTATACCTTACCGAAAAGAAGTGTTCTTTTCTTTTTGCTTTGGTAAAATAATCTGTGATGCAGTTTGACCAGCTGCAAAAGCAAAGGTGCTGAAGATTGACTGGGGATAACGGAACTTCATTAGCTGTTTCCTAAATATTTCTACCACTTCAGGACTTACTTCCTCATCAAATGCTACTTTAATTAACTGCAAATAAAAATACATAGCAGATTAGAGATTTTAAAAAATTTAATATGGCAACTTTTCAGATTAAAAAATGGAAGAGATCCCACAAGGGAAGTAAAATAATATATTGGTAAAATACAGAAATATGTGTATGTTATTGATTGTGGGAATTCATTGTATCTGTTTTTACTTTTTTAAATGTTATATTCTAATGCCAAAATATTTCTACTCTGCGGTGTCTGGAGTTCTCAAATTTAAGACAAAACATCAGAGCAAATCTATGAAGTAGCTTTCGCATTAACATTTATACATTAGTTAAAATGCCAGCTATATTTTCTTGCTACATGGAATGACAAGGCCTGGAAAGATTTTGGTGTCTCAAGCCCTTGAAATAGACAGGTCAAAACTAGTAAAAAGATTGGCACTCTACTTTCAAGACTCTCTCACTATGCCATATATTCACTCCTCACCTTGCAAAGCCTCAAAAACTGTGTTAGTAATAAAGCATGATAACCAAAAACGACCCTTAGAAAAGGAAGTGCTTTGTACTAGCCACCAATGATATCTCTGCTCCGTCAAAATATGGTGTTTATACAGCTTAAAAAGAGTCCTAACCTACAATTCTTAACCAGAGGGATGATGCCCAGCTCTTAAGTTTTGAGGATGAGCAATAAATGAGAGGGAAAATGAGGGTCTGTATAAACTTTACAAAGAATTTTCAAAATAAATATTTCTGAGGTATTTGTTATTTTATAAGGCTCAAGATGAAGTTACTTTTGATGTGTATTTTGTTTGCCAGACACAAGAATCATAGAGCTGGAAGAGACCTCAGGAGGTCATCAAGTCCAGCCTTCTGCCCGAGGCAGAACCAATCCCAACTAAATCAGCCCAGCCAGGGCTTTGTCAAGCCGAGACTTAAAAACCTCTAGAGATGGAGATTCCACCACCTCCCTAGGTAACCTATTCCAGTGCTTCACCACCCTCCTAGAGAAATAGTTTTTCCTAATTTCCAACCTAGACCTTCCCCACTGTAACTTGAGACCATTGCTCCTTGTTCTGCCATCCATCACTACTGTGAATAGCCCCTCTCCATCCTCTTTGGAACCTCCCTTCAGGAAGTTGAAGACTGCTATCAAATCCCCCCTCACTCTTCTCTTCTGCAGACTAAACAAACCCAAATCCCTCAATCTCTCCTCATAGGTCATGCGCTCCATGCTGAACCCTCTCCAATTTGTCTACATCCTTTCTGTAGTGGGGGCCCCAGAACTGGACACAATACTCTAGATGTGGGTCTCACCAGAGCTGCATACCTTATCCTTTGTTTTCTCTCCAAACAGCTAATAATCCAATTGTTCTGGACTTCCTTGAAATGAAGTCTTGAATATATATGGGCCACCCCCAAAAGAAATTTTAAATACCTTAAAATAAGATAGCTGTAACCATTCTCCCTCAAAAGTCATAATTAATACACAAAGCAGAGGGGGTCTATTTCACGTAATACTGAACTCTGGCTGTAAGAAAAGGAACAGAATGTAAACTATTTGCTGTTTTGTTTTGTTTTTATAATTTCCGACAAAAAAGCAGAGATTATATTTGATTACAGTCCAGAACCAGAAATTGATTTGTATCTGTATTTAACATACAACTGAAGGATGTAAATTTTGTTACGGTTAGTCTCCAAAAAGAGTCTTGGAAAGGAAAAGGCCTCACAGTTACTGTTTTACTTGAAAGGCATAAAGGAGTGACTCCTTAAATTGTTAATTAAATCCATTCATTTGTATAAGATAATGCATATGAGAGAAAAATATATTACCAAGAGTCTATTCAAAACACTAACAAGAAGAAATTGATGACATACTCCTAAAAGACTTTCCCTTTCACCAAACTGTGATTTTTTTGATCCTCAACGAAGTAATGTAGTAGCAGCCAGATCTAGCTAACCATTTCATACTCTGAAACCCCGCATCATATAATTTTAATTGTAAGCAACAGAATTAGTGAAGATTTCTACCTTATATTCTTCTCTTCATTTAGGGTCTCATAAGAACAGCCATACTGGGTCAGACCCAGTATCTTGTCTGCCGACAGTGGCCAATACCAGATGCCCCAGAAGGAGGCATCACAAGAGGAAATCCTCACGTGATCCCTCCCCGACACCTACCTCCAGAGAAAAAGAGGCTAGGGAACCATTTCTACCCATCTTGGGTAATAGCCATTGATGGACCTAACATCCATGAATCTATCTAGCTCTTTTTTGAACCCTGTTAAAGTTCTAGCCTTCACTGCATCCTCTGGCAAGGAGTTCTATGGGTTGGCTGTGCGCTGAGTGAAGGAAAAACTTCCTTTTGTTTGTTTTAAACCTGCTGCCAATTAATTTCATTTGGTGACCCCCTAGTTCTTTTATTGTAGGAACAAGTAAATAACTTTTCCTTATTCACTTTTTCCATACCAATCATGATTTTATAGACCTCTATCATATTCCCCCTTAGTCTCCTCTAGTCTCAGCATAGATTAAATTACCTCAGACTAAATCTAAAGGAGAGGGCTCTGGAAGAAGAAAAATCTCAAGAGGATCCCCATCCCTACAAACTGTACTCTTCCTATTTGAAGAATAGGATGTGAGAGTGGTCCCTAAACTTGTAATCATCAGGAAGCTGTTCAGATCCTGTGGCTCCATCAATGATGAGAGAAACGGGCAGTGAAAACCATTAATGCTCTAGTCAGTATTGATTGTGTAGATGGGAAAGCAATGCAGAAGGGTTCTCTGAGATGCTGAGACCCTGCCAGTACCAGTAACTTCACGAAGAATTGAGAACACTCAGCTTTTTCCCAGGGGCCAAAGTGTTACTTGCAGCAGGTTATTCTGATGAGATAATTTCAGATGTTTAACAAAATATAAAGCACTCCATTCTACCTGAAAGGATGCCGAGGTGATCTGCAGTCCCTCCTGCATATTCTGTTGCAGCTGGTTCTGTAGAGTAATCTTCTTCTCCTTCATAATAGATGCAATGGGAAAGCTCCGTATCACTGTCTGTTCTCCAGCTAAGTACCATAGAATCATTTACAGATATATTAGGTCATGGAATCATATCTGATTTAATCATATTTTGCTTTGAATGGGTGTTAATGAATGGGAGCAAAGTAATAGGAAATAAGGCATAAGATTTTGGCCAGGAGGCCAACAACAATTCAGAATCCACTTTAGGCAAAAAGTTTTAAAGGAGGTGATAAATTCTCAGAATATGACATACATTCATTTTTCCTATTTGAAATTAATTAGGATGATTGGACATATATTTTTCCATTCTCTCTCTCCTAAATGGTGGAAATTACAGAAAAAAACTACTGTGGTATAGGTCCAAAAATCAGCCTTTAACTACTAGTGATTTGCCATATTACATTTTGAAGTTTATATATACTTGATATGCATCCGTTTTGTCATATAAAAACTATGAACTGTATGTTTTTACATTTTTGGTTGATAAAATGAATTAACTAAAGCAGAGAAACTAGAAAATCTGATCTTTAGAACTACCACATTTCCCATGACATAATTAAATACAATGCTTAATTAAGGAGTGATTGTTGAAGGTGAAAAAAAAAGGTAACTCCATCACACAGGATTTTCAATATGTCGAAGATAATTACTTTTACAAATTTCTGTCATTCCGAGTCATTTCTTAGTTTTTTGATTACTGCACTTTTACTATTCTGTGCTATTTTTAAAAATGTTTTAACATATGCGGGTCTTTGAGGTCAGGAATTTATCTCCCTCCCCCTGTTAAAGTTCTCAACTCAAGCCTCCATCCTTACATGGCTCATCAATTGACACATGAATCAATTATATCAGATTTCAATCTTTAGCGCTAATGACATTTTTGTACTTCTGTAGTACACAGTGTACTTCTGCATGTTTCACAAATTCTCCATAAAGTAACATTTTAGACTTGTCCAAACCATACAGCAAGTCTGTGGGAGTGCCAGGAATATACTAGAGAGTCCTGATTGCCAGTTTTCAGCTTTAACCACTACGTAACATTCCTTCACTCAGGTGATAACACTACTGAACTGCTTTCACTTGTGCAAATATGAACAGAAACCTCAAAATATATTTTTATTTTAAGTAAATAAGTGAAAACTCTCAAAGGACTATAATCAGCATGAATTAAATTAGCACTTAATTGAATTCTCAACCATTTTTTGTTGAAACAAAATACAGGACTATGTAGCACTTTAAAGACTAACAAAATGGTTTATTAGATGATGAGCTTTCGTGGGCCAGACCCACTTCCTCAGATCAAATAGTGGAAGAAAATAGTCACAACCACATATACCAAAGGATACAATTAAAAAAATGAACACATATGAAAAGGACAAATCACATTTCAGAACAGAAGGGGGATGCGGAGGGAGCGGGAGGTAAATGTCTGTGAGCTAATGGTATTAGAGGTGATAATTGGGGAAGCTATCTTTGTAATGGGTAAGATAGTTAGTGTCTTTGTTGAGACCGACGCGTAGAGTGTCGAATTTTAGCATAAATGACAGTTCAGAGGATTCCCTTTCAAGTGCAGATTTAAAAGGCTTCTGCAGCAGAATACAGGTAATTAAGTCATTGAGACAGTCATTAAGTCGTTGAGACACATTATCAATAAAATAGTCACAACCATATATACCAAAGGATACAATTAAAAAAATGAACACATATGAAAAGGACAAATCAAATTTCAGAACAGAAGGGAGATGCGGGAGGCGGGGGGAAGGTAAATGTCTGTGAGCTAATGATATTAACTTTCGGCACATGATAGCATTTATAAACCTCAACTACCCACCTGGAGAAATAAAAAAGCAAATTGAAAGAGCCAGACGAATACCTAGAAACCATCTACTTCAAAACAGACCCAAGACTACAATAGAACACCAACAATAGAAAACCAACAATAGAACACCACTTGTCATCACCTACAACCCCCAACTTAAATCTGTCCAACACATTATCAATAAACTACAGCCTATACTGGAACAGGATACTAAACACCAAGAGGCTCTGGGAGACAGACCCATAGTCTCCTATAGACAACCACCTAACCTCAAGATGATTCTTACCAACCACCACAGGACATACCACACTAATACCAACCCTGGTACCTTCCCTTGCAACAAACCCCGTTGCCAGCTTTGTCCACATATTCATTCTGCTGATACCATTATTGGACCTCACCAAGTGAGTTATAAGATCAAGAATACATATTCCTGCGCATCCAGAAATATAATTTATGCTATCATGTGCCGAAAGTGTCCGTCTGCTTTGTACATTGGACAAACGTCTCAGACACTTCGCCAAAGGATCAATGCCCATAAAACAGATATTAGACAGGATCACAAAGAAAAAAGTTTCTTGCCATTTCAACCAGAAAGGACACTGTCTCAACGACTTAATTACCTGCATCCTGCTGCAGAAGCCTTTTAAATCTGCACTTGAAAGGGAATCCTCTGAACTGTCATTCATGCTAAAATTCGACACTCTACGCGTCGGTCTCAACAAAGACGCTAACTATCTTACCCATTACAAAGATAGCTTCCCCAATTATCACCTCTAATACCATTAACTCAGACATCTACCCTTCCCCACCTCTAATATCATTAACTCACAGACATTTATCTTCCTTCCCCCCCCTCCCGCATCCCCCTTCTGTTCTGAAATGTGATCTGTCCTTTTCATATGTGTTCTTTTTTTTTTATTGTATCTTTTGGTATATATGGTTGTGACTATTTTCTTCCACTATTTGATCTGAGGAAGTGGGTCTGGCCCACGAAAGCTCATCATGTAATAAACCATCTTGTTAGTCTTTAAAGTGCTACATAGTCCTGTATTTTGTTTCAGCTACACCAGACTAACATGGCTACATTTCTATCACATTTTTTGTTGATTAGATAGGTTTTGATAGTTTTGTTAAACTGCTGGGCCAGTTCAAAGTCTTGTATATCTGCCAGAACATACATTATTTTGATCCTACTAAGAAAGACCATACCGAGTTGATCATGAGGAGTTCCTTTGAATATAATTCTGTATGTGGTAAGGAACAATGCTCCTTCTGCAGGGAGAATATGGGGACCTCCGAGCAATCCTCCTGTTGCTTCCTCTCTCCCGTCAGGATCCAGCAGCACACGGAGACCTTCACATACTAACTCTTCTCCTGGTAGCAAAGCTGGTCGCAGAATCTTAGGCTGAAGGTCAAATATAAGAATTTTATATGTAAATATCATGTACAGTATAAGACTGGAATCTACCAAACTGTTATTTGCCATGAAAACATTTAAATATAAAATTATGAGATTGACTCCGCAAGAGGTTGAGTTTGGATTCAACTCAGTATAATGGGTCTTTTATAAGTTATTGGCATGCAATTACTTCTTTATGCTTAGAGGCTCTGTTACTTTCACAAGTTCATGTTTCATGGGACCAAAGCCAAACAATTTATTTATCACTGGTGGAAAATTTCTTAATTATCCTGTTCAGTGATCAGATGTCTTTTCATAATACTAGAAAAAGGAAGGCTGAAACCACTTCAAATTGTGTATGATTCCAACCTACTTTCTGTATTGGTGGTAATCTTCTACTCTCTCGATGGACAGCCTCCAGAGTTTCAATGTGCATCGCTACAATGCCTGGGAATCAATGACATCATAATTTAAACTTCACACAGTATAAGAAAGAATAAAACAAATTAAATATAGCTCCACTGTTCTTGAAATCCTGAAGGAAATTCCTGTGAAGGAAAAGCAGAGTAGATACCATCAATGACTATTTGGAATTTATCAATTATTACTGTCTAGGAAACAAACCCTTAAACGATACTGAAAATAACTGAGAGCAAAAATACACTTCTACCTGAAAATATCAGCTCCCAGAAAGAAGTGACAATTTTGTGAATCCACTTTTTTTTTGTATACTAGTTCTTACCTGGTATCATGCAATGAAGGCTCTTGATGTGATCCTGTGTAACTCCACTCTCTGTACACACTTTGTCTATAAACCTGGTGATGAAGCGCACAACTGCATTGGCAATATCATTGTTCTCAGAGTCCTCAAACCCACTTTCTGTGTCAAAGCTCTCTGCAACACTGCCTGCAATACTACAAAAGTAACAAAAAATTGCTAGTGTAAAAAAATCCAGTTAGCTAATCATAAACACAAAGAATAACTATCATATAGTTTTTGTTTCGTAAGTCTGCTATATTCAGTGTGCCTAAACATGTTGTCCACTTTTCCTCTACACTTCAGGCAGTTTCAGATACAACTGGTATAAAACACCAGCGTATGCTGACACGTCTACAATAATATTCCTACTGTTGGAGCTGCAATGATAATAAATAAAGAAGTAGAACATTTTTCTAAAAATTCTAGTGTAGACAGGAATGGTTTCTTAGAAGGGAAAATTCTTAAAGTCTGGTCCAATATCTCTTCTTCATTATATTTAGCAACATTCACACGATCTGTAATCCATGCTCAACAAATAGATTACTCGCCCTGTATAGTAACTGTGGTTCTTCAAGATATGTCTCCATGTGTGTGCTCCACTCTATGGGTGTGTCTAGACTGCATCTCTCTGCCGACAGAGAGATGCAGATTAGGCATATCAAAATTGCTAATGAAGCAGGGATTTAAATATCCCATGCTTCATTAGCATAAAAATGGCCACCGCTTTTTTCGGCACAGAGCTTTGTCAGAGCAAAGCGGCAATCTAGAGGCTGAGCTTTTAAAAAATAAAGCCTTTTTCAAAAGATCAGCCTCTAGACTGCAGCTTTTCTCCGACAAAGCTCCGTGCCAAAAAAAAAGTGGCTGCCATTTTTATGCTAATGAAGTGTGGGATATTTAAATCCTCACTTCCTTAGCAATTTTGATATGTTTAATTTACATCCCTTTTCCAAAAAAGGGATGTAGTCTAGACGTACCCTAGGTATCTACAGTAAATTTTCAGAATGAAGAGGGTTAACTAGAGGTGTTCCCCAAGGGTCAGTCCTAGGACCAATTCTACTTAACTTATTCATAAGTGATCCGGAGAAAGGGGTAAACAGTAAGGTGGCAAAGTTTGCAGACAATACTAAATTGCTCAAGATAGTTGAGACCAAAGCAGACTGTGAAGAACTTCAAAAAGATCTCACAAACTAAGTGATTGGGCAACAAAACGGCAAATTAAATTTAATGTGGAGAAATGTAAAGTAATGCACATTGGGAAAAAACAACCCCAATTATACACACAATATGATGGGGGCTAATTTAGCTACAACTAATGAGGAAAGAGATCTTGGAATCATCGTAGATAGTTCTCTGAAGATGTCCACGCAGTGTGCAGCGGCAATCAAAAAAGCCAACAGGATGTTAGGAGTCATTTAAAAAGGGACAGAGAATAAGTCGGAGAATATCTTATTGCCCTTATATAAATCTATGGTACACCAAGATCGTGAATACTACGTACAGATGTGGTCTCTTCATCTCAAAAAAGATATACTGGCATTAGAAAAGGTTCAGAAAAGGGTAACTAAAATGATTAGGGGTTTGGAACGGGTCCCATCATATGAGGAGAGATTTAAGAGACTAAGACTTTTCAGCTTGGAAAAGAGGAGACTAAGGGGGGATATAATAAGAGATCTGTAAAATCATGAGTGGTGTGGAGAAAGTGAATAAGGAAAAGTTATTTACTTGTTCCCATAATACAAGAACTAGGGGCCACGAAATGAAAATAATGGGCAGCAGGTTTAAAACAAATAAAAGGAAGTTCTTCTTCACACAGAGCACAGTCAACCTGTGGAACTCCTTGCCTGAGGAGGTTGTGAAGGCTAGGACTATATCAGGGTTTAAAAAAGAACTAGATAAATCCATGGGTGTTAAGTCCATGAATGGCTGTTATCCAGGATGGGTAAGGAATGGTGTCCCTAGCCTCTGTTTGTCAGAGGGTGGAGATGGATGGCAGGAGAGAGTTCACTTGATCATTATCTGTTTGGTTCACTCCTTCTGGAGCACCTGGCATTGGCCACTGTTGGTAGACAGGATACTGGGCTGGATGGACCTTTGGTCTGACCCAGTATGGCCATTCTTATGTATGCATCTCATGAACTCAGTTCAGAGATTTTAGGTAGCAGCGTCTGTTCAGCCTGCACATGCATCCATGCTTTGCCATGCTCTGCACCGTAGCCTTACAGGGCTGTGCAGGTGAACTGCTCTGCACTTCCTTCTCTACGGCTGCATTCCATCACAAAGAACTCTGAAGCAGAGGGGATGTGCACAGGCAGTGGAGCACCCATAGGGACAGTCTGACTCCTGAGTTTTTTATTTTGGCTGTGGTGAACAGGTCCTCTCCATGATGCCCCAACATCAAAATATGCAGTGGAACGTAATGGGCGTTATCTCCCAGTTGTGACCCAACAAAAAATATCTATTCAAAGAGTCTGCTGTGATGTTTTGCATGCCAGGAAACAAAGCTGCTGAGATCTTATTTCAAATGCATCAATTCCAAAGTCTCACTGCTCCAGAGTAGAAGGAAAATGACCTTTGTTTCTCTTGATGACTGATACAAAACATGCACAATATGTTATCTGACACGATTTTCATGTATTTACTCTGGAAGAAAATGGAGACAGGCATTTCTGACTGTTCAGAGTTGCAGTATGTTGTTGTGTGGCTTGGACTCAAGAGATGACCATCTGCTTTTAGCAGTGGGTGTTTAGATGGGTTTTGAATTCTAAAAGTTATGTGTCTGATATTGATGATACTAGAGATGAAAGGGGACTGAATGTGCAAAATTGTGAGAGTCCTTCCACTAGATAAGGGATTTTTTCCATGAGTGAGAGCATCAAGAGTAATTTGTTCAAACTCTGTTGGCTTGGCAAACAGTTCTGAGCTGCCCTGAAGATAACACGTGACTCATCACAAAGGTAGCAGCTGCCACGTCCCAAAAACTAGAGACAATCAGCAGATCTCTGGGGACTGATCTGGACTATAGTGACTAAATTGGCGAGGGCTATAAAACTGTGCGAAGGGAGGTATGCTTGGGCCTCTACCACATTAAGGTAAGCTTCTATGAACACTAAACTTTGCACTGGGGTTATTTTTTACTTTTGGATGTGTAATTGTGGTCCCTGTCTCAGAAATAGGTCTATAGGCCTTTCAGGCTACATCTAGACTGCAAGCCTCTTTCGAAAAAGAGCATCTAGACTACAATCAGTACTTTTGAAAAAGCAAACCGCTTTTTCGAAAGAGAGCACCCAGGCAATCTGGATGCTCTATTTTGAAAAATCACAGTTTGCATTACATAGCACCTTTTTTTGAAAGCGCACTTTCAAAAAAAGGTGTTATTCCTCGTCAAGCAAGGTTTTCCGCGGTCGAAAAAACTGCTGTGTTCTTTCGATTTACTTTCGAAAGAACATGGCAACAGTCTAGACACAGGGGAAGTTTTTTACGAAAAAAGGCCACTTTTTTCGAAAAAACCCTGTAGTCTAGACACACCCTCAGTGGCCAGCAAGAGTTTATTGAAGGACCATCCCTTGGGCAACCAATCATCAAAGTATGGGAAAATCAGAATTCCTTGTCTGTGAAGACAAGGAGCCATTACTGAGAGACATTTTGAGATCATTTTAGGTACAGAAAAACAAAGAATAGGAACTTTCTGTGAGAGAAGGTGAATCACTGTATGAAAGTAACTCTCCTATAGAACATAAGCTGTGAACCAATCCCCTTTGTCTAATGATGGAATTATTGCCTAAAGAATTAACATATTGATTTCAGAATCTTTGCAAAACTATTAAGTAATCTTAGACCCACAATAGGTTTTCAGCTGCAATTCTTTTTTGGAATGAGGAAATACTTGTAACAAAACTCCATGATTCATTGTTGCATAGGAACTGGTTCAATAGCACTCAAGTTCCAGAGGACACCTTTCAGTCATAAAAGGTACTTATGAGAGAGGGTCCCTGAAGAGGGTTGGGGAAGCAGGGTGGGATGGTGGGAAGGAAGTAAAGTGGATGGAGTTCTGTTAAAATGATCTCTAAAACACCCATGTCCATAGTTCAGCAGAAGTGAGAAAGATGGTCACCAAAGCGAAAGAGATGCTGATTATTTAAGCAGGTATGAGTGGGGAAGATAATTCAATACCTCAACCACTCTCTCACAACTGGTGTGTTAAAGCTGTGGGTTGTGAGGTCTTGTCTTCTGGAATTGTCATTTCTTATACTGGAGTCTGTAAGATATGTAGGAGGCAGGAAACAAAGCAGGACAAGATTTCTATGCTGTTTGGGATTTACTAAACTTTTTTTTGTATAAAAGGGTATAAATTCCCACAGAATGCAAGGTGCTCTTACTGTCTTTCAAGGTATGCAGGGACTGATCTGGTATTTTTTGCAAACAGCGTCAATCCATCAGAAGGGAGATCCTCAATTGTATTGTGCAGAGAGAATGAGCAGCTTTATCAATGGCATCCGGGGAGGACTGCAGTCATATTCTGGCCATCAGCTGATGCTCTCTAATGATTACTTGAAATGGTTCCCTTTGTTCTTGTAGAAGATGCCCGATTTAAACAATTTAAACTTGAAACAGTATTTCACTTGGTAGATGGTGATCTTAAACTGAAGAGTACCCCAGGAACTTGATTTATGGCCAAATAAATCAAGATGCTTTAGGTCTTTGTCATATAGGCTACGTCTAGACTGCAGCGCTTTTCCGAGATACCAGAGGTTTACCAGAAAAGCAATGCCAGGTCCAAGGAACATGTTTGCTTTTCCGAAAACTTTTTTGAAAAAGTGGATGCGCTCTTTCACCATCCCTGTAAACCTCATTCTATGAGGCATAAGGAATGTGTCAAAAGAGCAGGTTTTTCTGAAATTTCGTGCTGTGTAGATGCATCAAATTTTGGAAAAGCCTTTTTCGAAAGAACATGGGAAAAAGATACACAATTTGCGTACCACAAATTGCGTATCTTTTCCAATTTAACTCTGCAGTCTAGATATAGCCTTAGTGTGGATTGAGTGCAGTGCTGTTTTCCACATTTACAGTGTTGACAAGGTTGTCATGAGAAGGATGCAAAAAAAAAAAAAAAATTCAGAGTCCTTATGAAGAACATAATATTTTTTGTCTGCTCTCT